CAGATTCCAAAGCTTCCACATCAGTGGAGTGATGAAGACAAGAAGAAAATAGCTATAGACACACGCGCTAGGTCTATATTAACATTGTACAAAGATTTCATGACTCAAATATGCCCAAAAGCACAAATATTCATAAAACTCATAAAAAATGGGATAAACCCATAAAGGTGTTCAAAACTCAAATCTAAGGTATTTTGACATTTCACCTTGCTAGATTTATGTTAAATCTAGGTTCTAAACCAAACATACCTTTAACGAAAACTTGAGATCTATCAACAAGTCTCCCAAAACTTAGCTCCAACTCTCCTAAAAGAAATTTTCTACCTCAAAAGACCCAAAAGCTACATCAATAAGAGAGGAGGAGGAGAAGGATAAATCAACACTCCAAAATCTTAGTTTTTAGTTGGAGATATAAGACCTTACCTTCAACCTCAAGAACTATTAAATGACCAAGAGATGCCTTCAATGGTCCCTAAAATCAGACCTCAGGCTTCACAGAAAACCCAAACTAGAGAGAAAATGGCCGAGGAGAAGAGTTATGAGTAGAAATGAGTAGAAATGGGGGTGAAGGAATGAGTAGAAAACCCAAAAATCGGGGGTTTTAAAGTATGCAGGTGACTTATGTGATTTGGCCTGCAACCAGGGTCGCATGGTAGGTGACTGTGTGCTAGTCATCAGAAACAATGAGTTACTCGAACTAGATCACCGGTCAGCTCACGAGAAGGGATTTTTCGCCCAAAAGTTTGTTTTCTTCGCCGTTTCGACTTTCACGCACCCCATGCCAACTCATAGGCAACCTCTTAATAATATGAGCATTTTAAAGTTACACGACTATCAATAGGCTCGAGGACCCCAAAATCATGGGTGTTAAATTGCAGTTGTGAACGAACAGAGGCAAGAGACATGAAAATTTTGTTACTATTGTGAACATTTTAAAAATTAGGTCATAAAACCTAAGATGAACTTATAATCTTTTTGTGAACAGTTTTAATTGATGGTGATCTTTTGTAAACTTGTTTAAATCATAAAATTGTTGTTTCTTCCCAAAGGAATGATCTATTTTATTTGTAAACATGTTTGATTCACTTTATAATTTCTTTAATACGAAAAAATATAAAAGTACAATGTTGTACTAAGAAAATTTTGATGTAATAAAAAATATTATGTTACCAAAGTAACCCAAGTTTCGTAGAGGTTAAGGATTCAGAGTTTCGCCAAATGGGATGATTGTGGGAGTTTAATTTATCATGTATAAATATTATATATTTAAAAAAAAACCTTGTCAATCGTCATTAGTATACTACACATTAGGGATGCTCAAAAACCCAACCAACCCAACCCAACCCAACGTGTAATAACGCAACCCGATTGAGTTGTAAAAATTTCAAACCGCGGGTATTGGGTTGGAATATGGATTACGGTCATTTGAACCCAACCCAATCAGATGAACCCGATATCCTTTTATTTATTGGATTTAATATGATTGTTAAGTCTCTATTAATATATACACTACACAATTACGTCATCATGTACCTATAAGGAGTATGGATAAGCTTATAAGAAGGAGTATGGATAAGCTATACCAAAAGATTGATGATGATAAATGAATTATGAGTAAAGAAAACAACATATTCAAGATAACAAGAATATTTTGATGTATCAAATTATCAACCCGACCAACCCGTGGAGTTTAGGTTGGGTTGAGTTAAAATTTTGTAAACCGCAAACATTTGGTTAGATTTTTAGAATACTTTCAACTCGACCAACCTAACTCATAAGTACCCCTACTCCCATATCAATAGTGATATGTCAAAAAACCTATTAACTTCTCCTGTCATCAGAATCAAATAAATAAATCATTCATTGTTGTAATTGTAGTTTTTTCAAGGTAGAATATTCTAATAAAAATATTATTTTAATAAAAGGAAATGAAAAAAAAAAAAACATTATAATAAATATTTAAAAATTATCATTTCTTATCTATATTATCTTATAAAGCAAATTTATAAAAGTCTTAAAACAACTAATAAAGCATCAAGTGTAACTTATTAAAACATCGAGTGTGAAAATCTTTTAATCACAACCAATAAAGCACCAACTACAACTTATTAAAGCATAAAGTTTAAAAAATATTTAATTACAAGTATTTATGCGTGATGTACAACTCAATTTTACCTTGTTTCAGACGATTGAAGTGTCATTCCCTCTCCCCATGTTACACGCTTCATTTAATTTAATCGATTGCTTTCCTCTCCCCAAGCTGTGATTCAAATACTAGAATTCGATCCAAGACCGAAGATGCAAATATTGAATTTGATCTCTCTCTCT